TGAAGTCCTTGCCTACACCTACGTCCTGAATGGTTTTGCCTAGATTTTCTTCTAGGGTTTTTATGGTGTTAGGTCTTATGTTTAAGTCTTTAATCCATCTGGAGTTAATTTTAGTGTAAGGTGTCAGGAAAGGGTCCAGTTTCTGCTTTCTGCCCATGGCTAGCCAGCTTTCCCAACACCATTTATTGAATAGGGAATCCTTTCCCCATTGCTTGTTTTTGTCTGGTTTGTCAAAGATCGGATTGTTGTAGATATGTTGTGTTGCCTCCGAGACCTCTGTTCTGTTCCATTGGTCTATATCTCTGTTTTGGTACCAGTACCATGCTGTTTTGATTACTGTAGCCTTGTAGTATAGTTTGAAGTCTGGTAGTGTGATGCCCCCCGCTTTGTTCTTTTTGCTTAGAATTGACTTGGCTAGGCAGGCTCTCTTTTGGTTCCATATGAAGTTTAAGGTGGTTTTTTCCAGTTCTGTGAAGAAGGTCATTGGTAGCTTGATGGGGATAGCATTGAATCTGTAAATTACTTTGGGAGTATGGCCATTTTCACGATATTGATTCTTCCTAACCATGAACATGGAATGTTTCTCCATCTGTTTGTGTCCTCTCTTATTTCGTTGAGCAGTGGCTTGTAGTTCTCCTTGAAGAGGTCCTTTACATTCCTTGTTAGTTGTATTCCTAGGTATTTTATTCTCTTTGTGGCAATTGTGAATGGAAGTTTGTTCTTGATTTGGCTCTCTTTAAGTCTGTTATTGGTGTATAGGAATGCATGTGATTTTTGCACATTGATTTTGTATCCTGAGACTTTGCTGAACTTGCTTATCAGTTTCAGGAGGTTTGGGGCTGAGACGATGGGTCTTCTAGATATACAATCATGTCATCTGCAAATAGAGACAATTTGACTTCCTCCTTTCCTATTTGAATGCCCTTTATTTCTTTTTCTTGCCTGGTTGCTCTGGCTAGAACTTCTAATACTATATTGAATAGCAATGGTGAGAGAGGGCATCCTTGTCTGGTGCCACATTTCAAGGGGAATGCTTCCAGTTTTTGCCCATTCAGTATGATATTGGCTGTTTGTTTGTCATAAATAGCTTTTATTATTTTGAGATATGTTCCATCGATACCTAGCTTATTGAGGGTTTTTAGCATAAAGGGCTGTTGAATTTTGTCAAAGGCCTTCTCTGCATCAATTGAGATAATCATGTGGTTTTTGTGTTTGCTTCTGTTTATGTGGTGAATTACGTTTATAGACTTGCGTATGTTGAACCAGCCTTGCATCCCCGGGATGAAGCCTATTTGATCATGGTGGATAAGCTTTTTGATGTGCTGTTGCAGTCGGCTTGTCAATATTTTATTGAAGATTTTTGCATCTATGTTCATCATGGATATTGGCCTGAAGTTTTCTTTTCTTGTTGAGTCTCTGCCGGGTTTTGGAATCAGGATGATGTTGGTCTCATAAAATGATTTGGGAAGAATTCCCTCTTTTTGTATTGTTTGGAATAGTTTCAGAAGGAATGGTACCAGCACCTCTTTGTATGTCTGGTAGAATTCAGCTGTGAACCCGTCTGGACCTGGGCTTTTTTTGGGTGGTAAGCTCTTAATTGCTGCCTCAACTTCAGACCTTGTTATGGGTCTGTTCAGGGTTTCAGCTTCTTCCTGGTTTAGGCTTGGGAGGAGGCAAGTGTCCAGGAATTTATCCATTTCTTCCAGGTTTATTAGTTTGTGTGCATAGAGTTGTTTGTAATAATCTCTGATGATGGTTTGAATTTCTGTGGAATCTGTGGTGATATCCCCTTGATCGTTTTTTATTGCATCAATTTGCTTATTCTCTCTTTTCTTTTTTATTAATCTGGCTAGTGGTCTGTCAGAAAAGATTTTGTTGATCTTTTCAAAAAACCAGCTCCTGGATTTATTGATTTTTTGAAGTGTCTCTATCTCCTTCAGTTCTGCTCTGATCTTAGCTATTTCTTGTCTTCTGCTTGGCTTTGAGTTTTTTTGATCTTGCTCCTCTAGCTCTTTCAGTTTTGATGATAGGGTGTCAATTTTTGATCTCTCCTTGCTTCTCATGTGGGCACTTATTGCTATATATTTTCCTCTAGAGACTGCTTTAAATGTGTCCCAGAGATTCTGGTATGTTGTGTCTTCATTCTCGTTGGTTTCGAAGAACATCTTTATTTCTGTCGTCATTTCATTGTTTATCCAGTCAACATTCAAGAGCAAGTTGTTCAGTTTCCATGAAGCTGTGCGGTTCTGAGTTAGTTTTTGAATTCTGAGTTCTAACTTGATTGCACTGTGGTCTGAGAGACTGTTTGTTACGATTTCCGTTCTTTTGCATTTGCTGAGGAGTGATTTACTCCCAATTATGTGGTCAATTTTAGAGTAGGTGTGATGTGGTGCTGAGAAGAATGTATATTCTGTGGATTTGGGGTGGAGAGTTCTGTAAATGTCTATTAGGTTTGCTTGTTCCAGGTCTGAGTTCAAGTCCTGGATATCCTTGTTAATTTTCTGTCTGTTTGATCTGTCTAATGTTGACAATCGGGTGTTAAAGTCTCCCACTATTATTTTGTGGGAGTCTAAGTCTCTTTGTAAGTCATTAAGAACTTGCCTTATGTATCTGGGTGCTCCTGTATTGGGTGCGTATATATTTAGGATCGTTAGCTCTTCTTGTTGCATTGATCCTTTTACCATTATGTAATGTCCCTCTTTGTCTCTTATGATCTTTGTTGCTTTAAAGTCTAATTTATCAGAGATGAGAATTGCAACTCCTGCTTTTTTTTGCTCTCCATTTGCTTGGTAAATCTTCCTCCATCCCTTTATTTTGAGCCTTTGTGTATCCTTGCATGTGAGATGGGTTTCCTGGATACAGCACACCAATGGGTTTTGTCTTTTTATCCAATTTGCCAGTCTGTGTCTTTTGATTGGGGCATTTAGTCCATTTACATTTAGGGTTAATATTGTTATGTGTGAATTTGATACTGCCATTTTGGTGCTAGCTAGGTGTTTTGTCCTTTAGTTGAGCTGGTACTTGTTGTTCCTTTATATGTGTAGAGCCTCTTTCAGGAGCTCTTGTAGAGCTGGCCTGGTGGTGACGAAATCTCTGAGTACTTGCATGTCCCCAAAGGATTTTATTTTTCCTTCACTTATGAAGCTTAGTTTGGCTGGATAGGAGATTCTGGGTTGAAAGTTCTTTTCTTTAAGGATGTTGAATATTGGCCCCCACTCTCTTCTGGCTTGTAGGGTTTCTGCTGAGAGATCTGCTGTGAGTCTGATGGGCTTCCCTTTATGGGTAACCCGACCTTTCTCTCTGGCTGCCCTTAGTATTTTCTCCTTCATTTCGACCCTGGTGAATCTGACGATTATGTGCCTTGGGGTTGCCCTTCTTGACGAATATCTTTGTGGTGTTCTCTGTATTTCCTGGACTTGAATGTTTGCCTGCCTTGCTAGGTTGGGGAAGTTTTCCTGGATAATATCCTGAAGAGTATTTTCCAGCTTGGATTCATTCTCTTTGTCGCATTTGGGTACGCCTATCAAACGTAGATTAGGTCTTTTCACATAGTCCCACATTTCTTGGAGACTTTGTTCATTCCTTTTTACCCTTTTTTCTCCAGTCTTGCCTTCCTGTTTTATTTCATTGAGTTGATCTTCGACCTCTGATATCCTTTCTTCTGCTTGGTCAATTCGGCTGTTGATACTTACGCATGCTTCACGAAGTTCTCGTGTTGCGTTTTTCAGCTCCATCAATTCACTTATATTCCTTTCTATTTTGTCCATTCTCGTTAGCATTTCGTCAAATCTTTTTTCAAGGTTCTTAATTTCTTTGCATTTGGTTAGAACATGTTCTTTAAGTTCACAGAAGTTTCTTACTACCCACCTTCTGAAGTCCGATTCTGTCATTTCATCACACTCGTTCTCCCTCCAACCTTGTTCCCTTGCTGGTGAGGAGTTGTGATCCCTTTTAGGAGGAGAGGTGTTCTGGTTTCGGGTGTTTTCATCTTTTTTGTGCTGGTTTCTTCCCATCTTTAAGGATTTATCCACCTGTCGACTTTGTAGTTGCTGGCTTTCAGATTGGGTCTCAAATCTTTCAGATTGACGTTCTGTTTGTTGATGATGAGGTTATTTCTGTTTCTTGGTTTTCCTTCTGACAGTCTGGCCCCTCTGCTGTAGGACTACTGAGGTTCACTCTGGGCCCTGCTTGCCTGGGGTTCACCTGCAGCAGCTGCTGAACAGCAAGGGTTGTTACCAGTTTTCTTCTTCTGCTGTCTTTGTCCCAGACAGATACCCGCCTAGTGTCAATCTGATCTCTCTTTTTTGAGGTGTCTTTTTGGATATATAGGGGTCAGGGAGCTGCTTGAGGAGACGGTCTCTTCTTTATAGGAGCTCAAATGGTGAGCTGTGAGCTCTGTTGTTGTTCATTCAGAGCTGCTGGGCAGGTACTTTTAGGTCTGCTGCAGCAGAACTCATAAACTGCTCTTTGTTCCCAGGTGCTCTGTCCCAGGGGTTTAGGGCTTTATTTATGAGTTTCCATTATGCTGCCGCCTTCTTTTTTATTTTATTTTTTCCTTCAGACCTGCCCAGCCCAGCAAGGAGGCAGCCTAGTCACTGTCGGCCTATAGCAGCTTTGCTGAGCTGCTGTGGGCTCTGCCCCGCTGCCAAGTGACCTTCCCTGCAGTCTTGTTTATATGGGTGTAGTTAGAACTGCTTTGGCGATGGTGGCCCGCCTCTGTTGAGGCAGAGTCTCTTTGCTGTGGCGGGTTGCCTTGGCAACGGCGGGCTACCTCGGTAATGGCGGACGCCCCTCCCCCACAGAGCTGGACCATCCTGGGTTCAGCTGCGCTTGCTGTGAAACTCTCAATCCAGAGTTTCTGGTTGCTGTTCTTTTGTGGGGGTGGGGCCAGCCGAGCCTGATCGCCTGGCTCTCTGCCTCAGAGCCTTTTTTAAGTTGGTATTCCAGTCTCCTGTTGAAGAGGCGCTGGGGTCTGTTTGTTTTCCCCTGCGGCCACTCACTGCGCTGGTTTAAACAGCGGCACTGAGGTTTGTGGCGCTTTTTTTTTTTTTGCCCTGGAATCTACTGTCCTGGTTCTCTGCTCAGTCCCCTTTTTGAACCGGCGAATGGGCGACTTCCCGTGGCTCCAATTGCCAGCCAAAAGGGCACCCAGACCGGTGTATTTTGTACGGAGCACCGCGGCTCCAGGGCGCCGACAAAGCAGCGGCGCGGGGCAAAGCAGTGGTGCCGGCCGGCACAGCCGTGCTGGCCGAAACATCCGCGCAGGCGACCGTGGAGCTCCTTCGCCTGGGAATTTCCTAGTCTGTGGGCAATAAAAACGCGGCGTCCACTCACCCTCTGCGCTTTCACTGGGAGCTGCAATCCTGAGCTGTTCCTAAACAGCCATCTTGGATCAGTTTTTTTTTTTTTTTTTTTTTTCATTCTGTTCAGCACTATATTGCTCTGTATCCTCTCCACCCCTTCATGTTGCCAATCTTTTAAATTTGCATTTTCTTAATAACTAATATTAATCTTATTTCATGTGCTTATTTCACATCTATACATCTTTTTGGTTCTCTATTCAAAGCTTTAGCTGACTTGTTTTTTTATGACTGAGTCTTGAGAGTTCTTTACATATTCTGCAAAAACAGTAATTTATTGGATATGTACTTTACAAATATTTTCTCAATATTGAATAAGTTTCAGACATGCTGAAGTTTACACATTGGTAATCTGTAGTTAGGAATTTACATATAGCACGGGATTCCATTGAAACTCAATTGGGGATTCAGTTGGGAATTTGACAAAGGCTAGGGAAGGACAAGTGGTTTATTACTGTACAATAAAGAATAGGATTCATTAATGAAGTTTAGAGCATAGACCCCAGGGAGCTGAATATGAGGTGGGTATACCTCAACTTCTTGAGCCCACAACAACTGAGTTTCCAGTTTATAAGAAAATAAGTTTTTAAATCCCAGTTTGAACCCACAACAACCGAGTTTCCAGTTTATAAAAAATAAGTTTTAAAATCCCAGTTAGGGTACCATATTGCTCAAGATTCAGGTTGGAACCTGAAATGATTAGGGGTTGTTTCAGAAATTTGCAATGGCCTGTGACTAGGTTTCTTAAAAATGGTTTCCAAGATAAGTATTTAGAATTTGCATTTTTGCAGCTATATTTGGCTTTATATCTATAATTACTTGGAAGTGACTTGCACATGGGCCACTGGATGTTAGAGTTTCCTGTACAATAGTGGAAAATTTTTAAATGACATAAATCATGTAATCAACCTAAACGCCCATCAATAAGAGTCTGGATAAAGAAAATGTGGTACATGTACACTGTAAGATACTATGCAGCAATGAAAAAGAATGAGATTACATCTTTCGTGTGAACATGGTTGGAGCTGGAGACTATTATTCTTAGCAAATGAATGCAGGAACAGAAAACCAAATACCACATGATCTCACTTACGAGTGGGAGCTAAATGATGAGAATATGTGAAAACAAGGGAAAAATAGACACTAGGATCTACTCGAACATAAAGGGTAGAAAGAGGGAGAGAAGCAGAAAAAATAACTTTTGGGTATTGGACTTAATACCTGGGTGTTGTAATAATCTGTGGAACAAACCCCGTGACATGCATTTACCTATATAACAAACCTTCACATGTATCCCTGAACCTAAAAGTTAAAAATAAATAAAATGACATAAATTCTTAATAATAGAGCTCTGTCATATTTATATGTTGAAATGTGGAGCCAGCTATTCAAAAACATTTTTATCTAAGACTACTAAATTATACTTTAAAAAAATAATGATAAAGATGTAAAAATAAAATACAAACTGTATATATACTATGAAAGCAATTTTATTTTTTTAAATATGTATATAAAAACATATATAGAAAAAAGACTGGAGAGAAATATAGTAACAAGTTAATAGTGTTTATCCTGAGTGGTAGTTTATCTTGAATGGCAGGTGATTTTTCTTCTCTATTATACTTATCTGTTTTGCCCAAATCTCCTCCAATCTGTTTTGTTGACATTAAAAAATAAAATAGCAATAAAACAAAAATAGCTTCAGTGGTTGAAATTGTCTAAATTCTTCCCCATCTGGGTCCATGTTGGGCTACCCTCTGTACCAACCAAGCCTAGCATGGAACTGAACCCAAAGGTCCAAAACCAAGGAATACCAGTCTACAAGAGACAGTCTAGAATGGGAAGTGTCGCGGGATTGAGTGTCACTCAAGCGTCAAAAAAACTTTAAGGAGAATTGATAACTAAAAATCAGTGATGAATGTAGATGTCCAAATCTAAAAGGTTAAAAATGTAGCTTTTAATAGAAGACACAGATGAGTCAGAGATAAGCAAATAAAGGGTGAGAATAGGAACAAGTTAGGAAGAAATTGGTGGGGCCCTTGAGGATTGCCATGAATTCTCCAAAATGAGCCTGGGGCTCATTTTTATTTTGGTTGCTAGTTCTTGGGAGGTGAGGTTTACTTAAACACAGTGTTAAATATCATGGAGAGAGAGAAAACGGTTTTCAAAATACCCAGTTTCTCTTTACCAAGTTTAATGTACTTTGATAAACACCCATGTTACCGGTCCTTTCTGCCACATCTTCATTTATCAAGATTCATGAAGGTCTAGCTCAAGTTCAACCTTCCATCAGAAACCTTCCCCAGTCCCCCTAGTTGGATATGATTCCTCACTACCTCCTTTAAAGTCCTGCAGATTTTATTTATGCCATTTGTAAGGAACACAAGTTTGTCAGCACTATGAAATATTAAACTGTCCTTTCAAGTTTGAAAACTTACAGAAGCTTGACTTTACATATATTAGGCTGCTTTATGTGACACACTGTGTGTAACATTTAGTGAACTAGCTAAATGACAAAGTGCTACAGACATACACACATTTATTAAGAGGAAAATGATAAGGAAGGTTGTCACCAATTGCAAATATACTCCTTTTGGAAGCTATATTTTATCTTAGTAGCTAATACTTCCACATACCAACTAGGTCCTTTCCTGCTTGCTTTTGAGTCATAAATTACTATTTAAAAACTGGCATGCTTCCCACAGTTAAAGTTTGCTCATTAAATTATCATCTAGAACATTTCCTTTACTTAGACTGGTAAGATTTAATTTAGGTCTCTAGGCTACTGACATTTCCCAGTTAATCATGTAACTGCTGTTGAGGTGAGGGCAGGGGAGAGACAGGATAGACTGTCATACTTTCATTTTAAAGAAATAGATATATTAACAAATTACAGTAATTGCTGCTTTTTCTCACCTTGTATGTTTTTAAATTAATTAAATGACTCTAATGTTTTTGATTCCTAGAATTTTTTTAATCTTCTGGGATTTGATGGCTTTTTGATGAAGCGGTGCTACTTCTGATTATGTTGTGTTGTCTTGATTAACTTGCAAATTGACTTTCCATTCTTTTTATTTCCAATCAACTGTGTACTTTGAAATAAACTTTTGACACCTCCCACAACAAAGGCTGTCATTCTTTTACTAATTTTCTTAGTTGACTTTCATTAGGAAGTCCTACAGACACCTTAAACTCAAATAAATAGAAGCATTGTATTTTTTTCATTCTGCTTCTTCTGTAAAGTCTCTTTTCTAGAGTCTGGGAATTATTCTAATTCTGTCTTTGTCATCTCCCACACACAATCAACCACCAAATCTTCTCTTGCCAAACCAAAAAAAAATTACAAATAAAGTACAAATTGCAGAGATTTTAGGTAGTCAATATATAATACTTCCTTTTCATTTTCCAGTGCAGAATCAGTTGAGGAATAGAATATCAGAGAGAGGAGACTACAGCATTATCTTTATTGCTGCAGAACTCTTAAAGTAATGTAGAGGGCTAAATGAACCAATTAGAATGTCTTGTGTCTCTTCTCACACCTCCCATCTATGTCCGAGGAAAGCTCTCCTGTGAGCAAACTTGGTATTCAATAGCTAATCTAAGCTCTTTGTTTCCCTGCCTGTCTGATAGAGAAAGGAGAAAAGATTAAAATCCTCAATAATCATGGATGATTGGCAAAATATGAACCAATGACTTCCAACCATTAATAGAGCGTTACATATTCTCCATGGAGACGAGTGAATAAGAGGTCAAGCAAGAGACCACAAGTTCATGTTGGAAAAATATATCAGCTGGAAAAAGAAGAAAACTAAAAATACCTTAACTTTTCTGTAACAAGAGATTGGAGGAAAACAGGGAGAGTGTGGAGTGATAGTAATAAAGAAAGGAGATTAATTTCAAGAAGAAAATAGCTAAACAGAGTGCTAATGCCACCCTTACACATGACACTCTTTCTAGAATTTTTTGAGATCATGGTCTTTTTAAAAAGAAAAAAATTGCAATAGTTTTTGAGGAACAGATGGTATTTGGTTACATGGATAAGTTCTTTAGCAGTGATTTCTAAGATTTTGGTGCACCCATCACTTGAGCAGTGTACACCTCATTCATTGTCTAGTCTTTTATCCCTCACCCCTTCCCATCATTTCCCCCAAGTCCCCAAAGTCCGTTGTATCATTCTCATGCCTTTATGTCCTCATAGCTTAGCTCCTACTTATAAGTAAGAATGTACAATGTTTGGTTTTCCATTCCTGAGTTACTTTACTTAGAATCCAGTTGCTGAAAATGGCATTATTTTGTTCCTTTTTATGCTGACTAGTATTCCATAGTGTGTGTGTGTATATATATATCACATTTTTAAAATCTACTCTTTGATAGGCATTTGGGCTGGTTCCGTATTCTTGCAATTGTGAATTATGCTGTTATAAAGATGCATGAGCAAGTGTCTTTTTCATATAATGACTTCTTTTCCTCTGGTGGATACCCAATAGTGCTATTCCTGGATCAAGTCGTAGATCTACTTTTAGTTCTTTAAGGAATCTCCATGTTGTTTTCTATAGTGGTTGTACAGGCTTATATTACCACTAACATTGTAAAAGTATTCAGTTGTCACTGCGTTCCCATCCACATCTACACCTATTTTTAATTTTTTTAATTATAGCCATTCTTGCAGAAGTGAAGTAGTATCTTATGATTTTGATTTGCATTTCCTTGATAATTAGTCATGTTGAGCATTTTTAAATGTTGGCCATTTGTATATCTTCTATTGAGACTATTTATATCTTTAGCTCACTTTCTGATGGGATTATGAATTAAAAATAAAAATTCTCTAATTAATAGATGTAGAAAAAGCATTTGATAAAATCCAACATCCCTTATGATTAAAACCATCAGCAAAATA